AACAACAACAACAACAATGTTATTTAAGCCATGCCAAAGGAGCACTCTCAGGAATTCAGACCCAAATGCGTTCATTAGTCTTTTTACTTTTCTTGTATTTGGTGGATTTGGAGTTTGATAACATGTTGTTGTTTGTGTTGTTAGGTGCTGTCAAGTCAATTCTGACTCACACCAACCCTATGTACGATGGAAGGAAACACTGCCTGCCTGGTCCTGTGCCATCCTTAAAATCCTTGCTATGCTTGAGGCCATGATTGCAGCCACTGTGTTGGTCCGTCTCATTAAGGACCTTCCCCTTTATCGCTCACCCTCTACTTTACGAAGCATGATATCCTTTTCCAGGGACTGGTCCCTTCTGATAATATGACCAAAGTAGGTGAGACAAAGTCTGGCCATTCTCACATTCTCACAGCATTCAGGCTGCACTTCTTTCAAGGACAGATTTGTTTGTTCTTCTGGTGGTCCATGGTATTTTCAATATTCTTCACCAACACCACAACTCAAAGGTATCAACTCCTTTGGTCTTCCTTATTCATTGTCCATTATAACAGAGTTGGGTCAAAAAAGTGGGGCAAGTGAGAAAAAAACAAATAATATCGTGCTCATGGTAGACAAAAGAGAAAACTGATTTCTGAGTTAAGAAAAAAAAATGTTAGGGAGCATCTCCTCTCCACTGGCACTTGGCACCTCAGAAGTATGCAAAATCATCAGTGATTTTATGGACATATTCTATATTGTAGTTCCACTCTGAAGCCAGTGTTTTCTCGGTCTTTTTGCAACTATTGCCCCCTAAAGAGTCTTTAGAGATTTTTCCCCTTGTTGCTCCACCTCCATGAAATTTTAGTACCACAGATATACTCTATGTCAGTGTATGCACTGTATGTATATCTGTGCTTCATAAATAAAAAATGAGGAAGATTTTTTCATCCACCAAGAACCATTTTTCGCCTCCTGGAGGCATTATCACTCCCCTTGGAGAATGCCTGATCTAGAAGAGGCAGGAGGGAAAGGGCAAGAAGTTATTAAAAACCTCTTACGTACCTGAAACATAACTAAAACTAGCTCAATTGATACTCATAATGACTTGTGTGGTAGGTATCATTATTTTGATTTTGCAGATGATGAAACTATTAAGATTGAATGAAATACATAGTATGTCTAAGGTCTGAAGTAAGTAGTAGATTCTAATTTTGGTCTGTTACTCAAAATGAAACCAGATGATTCAGGAAATGGAGAGGAGGAGAAAACAAATATGTTACA